GCACACAGCCAGTACACGGTCTCTGTTAGGCTGCGGAAACAAGGGAAGTTCATCAAGAGCTCTGAACACAGTGAGTTTGCCCTTCCTCTGCATGGGTTCCCAGGGCTATAAGGCTATGGGGGTCCATTGTGTCAACCCCTAATATATGGGGAATGCTTCGACACCTTTGTGTCTGTATCTTTCAAAGATTTTCAGACCAGTGAGTCATGGTGACAAAATGAATACTCTGGAGTTAGAAATGTGTCTCATTAGGTAAGAGTTATTGATGAACAAGCATGAGGACTTGAGTTCAAATCCCAGCACCCACATAAAAGTTTGTGCTCATATGCACCTGGTAGGAGACTGGAGGATTGTTGGGGCTTTTGGCTACTAACATAGATCCAGGGTCAGTGAGAGAACCTGACTTAAGGGAATAGGACACAGAGAAAGGACAGAGAACAACTTTCTATGCTTCTGCATGCCTATATAGGTACCCACACCCACACGTAGGCTTATGCAACACCGAAAGGGAGAGGCAGAGACAGTTAGAGACAGAGAGATGGGGAGAGAGAGGAACCAGGGACACCACAGCCCACTTGTGCCTCATCTTCTGCAGATGACACTTGTCACTGCTTGAGAGTAGCACTTGAAACCTGCTCCTTCCTCCCGTTCTGCTTCCAGTCAGCCACACACTTGCCCCTGCCTGGGACCGCCATCCTTAACTCTCCTCTCCCCCGGAAGTTTCCAACATCCTCATCCAACTAATGTTCTCACTCCCAACTCTGCTCTAGGTTTTACTTTTGTGCCAGGGAAGGAGTGTGTGCCAGCAGATGGCTTCCTTATAGATCCATGTCACACCTTCCCGGCACATGGCAAAGACCTTGAAACAAGGAAGGCTTTCCATCCTTCCAGTACTGCGTGCCACCGTCGGCAGACAATCTCTTGTACCTGAGTTCACAGCCAGATGTTTCTCTTGGTGGCTTCCTTCCAGGGAAAGGGATTCCATTGACTCAAGAGAGCCCTTGCGTGCGTTATAGTCACCCACGTTGCTTTTGTTAAAACCTCAGAAGTCCTCAAGTTGTGAATCTTCTGATGGGGAGAGAGAAGCCCAGAGTGACTGCGGGGCTTCATTTGAGGTTCCCAGCTCTCTGAGAATGTACTTCAGGGCTCCATGAGAAAACCTGAACACATGGTCGTGTCTCAGCTTGTGGTCTGCTGGCCAACTGTGCAGGATTGTCACCAAGCGTCTAAAGCTTTCAGATTAGACTCAGTGTGGTAGGAAGATGGTCATCTGGGTATATCTGAATGCCTAATTTAGCCGGTGTGTGTGTATATGTGTGTGTGTGTGTGTGTGTGTGTGAGTGAGTGTGTGTGCGTGTATGGGGGGACTTTTAGAACAACAAGGACTTACTAGCCCATCCTGGCTTCAGGCTACTCCCAGGGTCACTGAAGCACCAGAGGGGAGTGGCTGACATAGGACAGCAGAGACACAGGCTCTTTACTGCTCAGTTTTTATCTGTAATCAGTTTCCCTGAGTGTAAAATGGGGGAAGTTAGAGCACCTCACAGGGGAAGTGTGAGAGCAGAGAAATGGATTTCCCACAAAGTGAGTGTGTTGCCCAGGAACTCAGTCCATAGGCTAGACAGGGAGTCACGGCTTGCTGATTTTCCCCCTGTAATCTAACACTAGCAGAAGCACCAGGCTTTGGGCCACCTCATTACTGTGGCTTACCTCAACCGCTCCCCCAGGGACCAAGGAGGGACATTGCAGTTCAGTAATGCAGGGTGTTCATCTTAGAAAATTTCCCATTGTTGTTACATGACATCATAGCCAAGGCACTTCAGAAAAGAGAGTGTTTCCTTTGGGTTAATGGTTTCAAGGTCAGAGTTCATGATGGCAGAGCAGGCACCAGGAGCAGAACCTGAAGCAGCAGCTTCAGCACACCTGGTTTGGTTGGATGGTTAGTTGATCTTTCAAGACAGGGTTCCTCTGTGGAACCCTAGCAATCACGAATCTAGTTTTGTATTCCGGCTGGCCTCAAACTCACATAAATCTGCCTGCCTCTGTGTCCCCAGTGCTGGAACTAGAAACGTGCACCACCACACACACACACACACACACACACACACACACACACACACACACACATCTTGAACCAACAGCTAGTGGCAGAGTGCACATCAAAGTCCTCTCTCCCAATGACACACCTGCCCCATCCAGGTCACACCTCCTAATCCTTCCCAAAGAGTTCCACCAACTGAGGATCAAGTATCCAAACAAATGAGCCTATGAGAGCAGCATTCTCCTTCAAACTACCAGAGTTCTAAGGAGTCAAAATGACAGGGGATTGGGGAGATAGGTCCAGGGAAGAGAGCAGCTAGGATCAGCTTGGTTATGGGGAACACACCGTTGGAGAGAGGACACTTGACATTCTCTGAAATTATCCCCCCTGCAGTCCAGATGCACCCTCCAAGCCTCAAAGTGACCAAGGATGGAGACAGCTACAACCTGCGTTGGGAAACTAAGAAACTCTTCTATGCTCACATCGAACACAAATTCCAGGTCCAGTACAAGAAGAAGCTGGACAGCTGGGAGGTGAGGACCAGGACCCAGGGGAAGTTGCGACAGTGAGGCAAGGAAAGAGAGAATACCAAATGAAGCCCTATTTCCAGGAGTCTACCATGACCTCAGTACCGACACAGTCAATAGCGAGAGTCCCATATCTTGATGATGGGTTCGGGCTCAGAGAGGTAACATGACAGGTCCTGTGACCAGCAGTGTCCTTGGGCTGAGGAGGCAGAGACAGAGGGGACACTAGATGTGCCTATAATGAAAGTTTCAGTGATCACTCGGCCTGGGTTATTTCCTCCCAGGAACCAGATCTGAGACATTCTTATAGCTGTTGAGGGTCAAGCTAGTGCTCAAGGCAGGTCATGCCAAGCACACATTCCATATGCAAAGCCTGGGACCTAAGTGCAGAGTGTGGCTCCACAGACCCCAAAGCAGGACTTTTCAGAGAGGGAACGGAGAAACTGAGATGTAAGAGTGGGTTAACACCACCACTACCTCCACCTCCTCCACCACCTTCCCCTCCACCTCCACCTCCACCACCACCTCCACCACCACCTCCACCTCCACCTCTACCTCCAACTCCACCACCACCACCACCTCCACCTCCACCTCCACCTCCTCCTCCTCCTCCACCTCCTCCTCCACCTCCACCACCTCCTCCTCCACCTCCACCACGTCCTCCTTCACCACTACCACCTCCTCCTCCACCACCACCACCACACTATCTCATGGCCTAGGACCTGGAATACCAGTAAGATAATCCTGGATCAGACAGATTTTAGACTAAGGCAGCAGACCAGAAAAATTGGGAGGTAAAAAGAGTCTGGGCTTGAGCCTGGGTATGGCTATCAATGATAGAAGAGGTGGCACCTGGGGCCACCACAGTGGTTGGTCACAGTAGGCCATGAACTGGGGTCCTGGTCTGGACTACACCTTCAACACTCCTGTCACTGCAGGACAGCAAGACAGAGATCCTAGATAATGCCCATAGCATGCCCCTGCCACGGCTGGTGCCCTCCACCTCATACTCGGCCAGGGTGCAGGCTAAGCCCCTCACTTACTACCATGGGAAGCATCAGATGAGAGGACACTTTGCCTGTTGTCCCGCACTACCGTCTCGCCCGCAAGAACGACGTGGGACACTTAGGATCCTTCTGCAGAAAAGCTTTAATGCGTCTTGAGAGAGAGAGCATAAGCTTCCAAAGCGGAGACCCAGAAATGAGGGAACCCATCCCTTATATAGGAAACAGTCCTTGCTTCGGACGTGTCACTCTTGGATTGGTCCGCTGCCCATTATCGCAGATGATGCCTCAGGAGTAGGCAGGGACAGCAGTGGGAAGTTACCAAGCACATGTACGTTATCTTGTTCACCTGGCGGTGAAACCGGATGCCAGCGCCATCTTGTAATGGAGTATGTGGTTGCGGTCCTCCACAGCCTGTACCACTGACTGGGGTATGTCTCTTGGCTACCACACTCCTGGGACAGCCCCACTGCACAGGGCAAGGGAGGCTCTTGACCCATCTATCCCAGCCTCCCTCCCCCGTGACTGTCCCTGGGAAATGATGGCTCTTATATTGTACACTGAGAGTGGGGACTTGGGAGAGGGGTGGATCTGTCTCACTGTCCTTCTTCCTTTCTGTTGGGGCTTAGACCTCTTGGTTTGATTAGACTTTATGGTAGCCATGATTAGTCAATCTAAGTTTCTTGTTCCCATGTCTGCAAAGCTATACTCTCCATGTACCTACAGGAGTGCCTAGTTTTGGATGTTGGTGGGACCCACTGGTCCTGCTCATTTTCCTTCCCATGGCATTAGCATTCCATCCTCATTCTCCCCATGGTGACCACCTGTGCAAGGAAGATCCACGGAACTTAAAAGAGACCTGGGAAGTGGCATTGGTAGAAAGAATTCCTCATAGCAGGACTTATTGAAGGGGGAGTCGTGGGCTGACAGCCAGTTAGGCAGGAGGAGGATTGGAGCCATGGACTCAGGAGATAGACAGGGGAGACTTACAGGGCCCAGGTCAAGAAGGCTAGTGTCCTGACAGAAGGGACCCCTTTCTGGTCCACTCTCCATCTCCTCTGAAGCTCCTGATCCTGGAGATCATGCTCTGAGCTGCCCTCTTCAGGAAATCTCCCCATTACCAAGGTCAGGCAGTCCCCTCTGGGTGCTTCTGCTGCTGCTGAGGGCAGAGCTTCTCCACATTGAACACTGAGTAAAGACCCAAGGATTCGTCCCAAAGTATCCAGCCTTCCTCACAGAGGGCCTGGGAACCCTAGCTCCTCCCTCAGACTGCATCCTATGCCTCCCACCTAATGCTCCTTCTCCTTCTTGTTGAACAAGTGATGCCCACATGGGGGATCGTCCTCATCCTGATTGTCCTCATCCTGATCTTGCTCCTGGCCCTCCGCGTTGGCTGTGTCTATGGGTGCAGGTAAGGGCAGTCTGTGGACAGAGGCAAGTGGGCACGGGGCCCCAGGGTCACAGGGATGACACAGCCTGGCACAGTATGATTCCCTCACTGCCACTCCTCACCTGGCTTCAGTTTTCCCTCTATACCTGGGCACACGAGTAGGTGACCCCAAGGTCCCTGGACCTTGACCTTCATTGACACATCTTCCTGCTGTCTTCCAGGCTGTACAGAAAGTGGAAGGAGAAAATCCCCAACCCCAGCAAGAGCCTGCTGTTCCAGGTAGGAAGGCAGGGATGCTGCTGATCCCTGTCCCAATGCTGTCACAGTGGAGAAGGGTGAGAGATCCAGGAGGCAGGACTAGCAGGAGGTGGATCTCTGAACTTCTTGGGGACCCGAGAAAACAGGAGTGCACAAATTGCCCTAGCACTGTCTGGCACAACAGACAGAACAGTGAGCATTCCCTTGCAGAGGAAGCTCAGGAGGGGCTGCTCCTGGGGATAGGGATGGACCTGAGGGCCTCCACGAAGGGATTTGAGCCTAGCATAAGATGTTTCTGAGCTGGTGGAGAGCCAACTGCATCAAGGGTGCCTTCAGAGGGTCAGGTCCCGAGACAGGGGTCTAAGGAATGAAAAGGCATAGCTGCCAGTATCTCATGACCCAATGGCCATGGGCTGAAGAACCATGGGAGATGAAGCTGTGGTGAACAGTATGGCCTGCTCCCTTCATGAGCTTGACATCTGAGGGAAGTGACAATTCCCTGGATGCCTCTCATTTTCTTGTTGTCAGAGGCCTGAGTTTAGCCTCACCATGGGGACATTCTTTCCACGTCTGGAGCTCATAGAAGGCATCATACACACATGCAATGCTCCACTGTCCCCTCCTTCCTGAGGTACCACATTCACAGGCACAAATGCCCTTCCCCTTCTAGGATGAAGGAAAAGGACTCTGGTCTTCTAGCAGCACAGCAGCCTTTGCCACTAAGAACCTTACCCCCCAGGGGTCACAGAGAAACTCTTTTGCAAAGCTACATGGGTAAGTGGTTCATTCAGACCCTTGGGTAGCCTGTAGGAGGACACACCTCGACTGTGCACATCAGCATAGCCTGAGGTCTCTGAAGTGAATGTAGGGGATGACACCCACTGTAGTAAGTGCCACTCCAGGTAGCCCTGAGGAAGATCTTCCTGATTCCCAAGTTATGATGAGAGAGAGAGACCAGAGACAGCATCCTTACATGGGAAACCTCTCCCTGTCAGGATGGCTACATAAGCCATGCACTGCAGTGGACTCATGGGTGGCAGAGAGTGCATTTCTGAGGGATTAAACTTGTGTAGTGAGGCTAAACCCCACATGTCAGGGTAAATCAGTGGCCCTGTTGGTAGAAGGATGGAAGGCATCCATGGTACCCAAGAAGATATAAGCCCTGCCCTGCACATAGTGGGCCACGAGGAGCAGAAGATAAGAATAAAGCCTATAGTAGGGATGTGAACTGAGCCCTGAGTACATACATGATCCTTTGGACACTAACATAGGCCCATGTTATTTGCTGGGTCTCACCACCACCATTCCTTCGTGCTCACTGTGAGGTCTGGAGGGGTCAGGACTTCTGAAAAGGATGCCTGACTGGGTATACATGACATATCTCGGTTCCTTGTCTCTACCCTCATTGTCCCCGCAGGATGTCATATCCATATACGGCGGACAATGAAGTGTCACCTCTCACCATAGAGGTTCCTAAAATTGTTCAAGATTTACCGTCTGGGGCTGACCCAACTCCAGTCATCTCACCAGAACCCATGGAACAGCTTTCCGATGGCCAGAGAGACCCACCAACCCATCTGGGCAAACCTGAGAGCCAGAAACCCAACTTTGACTTTAACGGTCCCTACCTGGGGCCTCCCCAAACTCACTCCCTGACTAATCTCCAAGGCCAACTGGTGCCCCCAGAGAAATGTGACAGCCTGAAGCCAGAACAGCCACACTCCCTGGAGTACCTGTGCCTGCCTCCTGGGGGACAAGTGCAGCTGGTACCACTGTCCCAGGCGATGGGCAAGGGCCAGGCTGCAGATGCAGAGCTAGAGTCTAGCCTGAAGACCACAGAGAGCCCTTCCATGGAACAGAGGGATAGCCCTTCACTCGACCTGAGAGTGGAGGAACAGGAGCCAAAGGACAGTGCAGCGACTCTGTCCTTAAACTCTGGAGACACTGAGGACCCCGTGGTGGCCTCTGGCTATGTCTCTCCTGCAGATCTGGTGCTCACCCTGCCCACAGGGCCCCTGTCTACCTCTCTGGGCCCCTCTCTAGGATTGCCCTCAGCTCAGGGTCCTAGTCTCTGTCTCATGCTGCCTGGGGTTC